AGTGGATGCAATGATGAGGAAGCATTGAGACCAATAGACAAATACCAAGCTTTCCAGTGTAAGATGGAGGCTGGAAAGTGCAATGTGACAGTGTCGGCATGTGGATGTGGTTCTGTGTGAGTGTGCTCCGTGATGTGTGGTATTGGTGGAGTGGACTGACAGGAAGTATGATTGTGTGTTGAAGTGACTGTGTTTGTGTAAGTTCGGTTGAGTCCGATGTACACTGTGTGTATGTTAGGAGACAGTGTGTGGTGACTGTGTAGGGTGGTATGGTGTTGTGGTGTGACGAGTTGCCAAAAGCTGCTGCCCCCAGGGAGGATCGAACTCCCGACCCCTGGTTTACAAGACCAGTGCTCTGACCACTGAGCTATGGAGGCCGACTACACTTCTACACAACACTACATCCACCATTCACTCACTCTTACAATCCACAGTCCTACATCTCGTCCACTCACTGAACCACACATCAATTTCGCCACAGTATCAAACACTCTACAAACACGCAAGTGTCCTCAGTCAGTAAGACAGTCAATCGATCACATCATCACCATAGTTTGCAATCAACAATTTATTCGACCAGTCAATCAATCGACCAATGTAGCTTTCAAACACACTACACGACGCTTGGCCAGTTAGCCAATCAATTCATCCATTCATCTGTCTGGTGTACGGGTAATCAATCATGTGATTTCCAAATGCACAAACACAAACACAAACACAAACACACACACACACACACCATTCTATCAGTCGATGAGCATGTGAAGGCCGATTGTCAACTATGCACATGGTCATGAAACTGGAGATTGGGAGAGGTGAGTCCACATCAGTACTATCCACCTCTCGTCATCTGCCTCATCTGCAATTATCGTCATCAACATCACCATCACCATCACCATCACCATCGCTCATCATACGTCATCACGTACTGTGTCACTGGATCGTCGCGGTGTACCCGCCGTTCGACTAGTAGGTCGACGAACACCTGACCGTTTGTCCTAGTCCACTGACTGTGTTGTTAGACTATGGTGAGGAGGAGTTGTGTACAGGTGATCAGTATGTCAACCAATAGAGGATTTGAGTAATGAGCAGGTTGATAAGCGTGAGATACTATGTTGCGTTTGATTCGATGTGAGTTTCCGTCTATCTGGCCATCTGAGAGTTTGTTCATGAATGCAAGTGTGTAGTGTTAGTTGTTGGTTGTCGGTAGTGTATGAGTGAGTGAGTGTGTGTGTGTGTTGTGTGAGTGTTGACGTGTATTCAGTGCTGAAAATCTGAGTTGGTGGTTGAGTTTGGCTTAGTTTGGAGTGTGTTGAGTGTGGCGACATTGACGTGCTCCTCGATAGTATAGTGGTAAGTATCTCCGCGTTGCACGTAGTCTGCCGGTGTTCAGTTCGTGTTTGAGGATTCAGGTTTTGGTTTACATATGTTATAACACACACATATCGCTTTGTCACTTAACATCAATGGTTGCTCTTATATCAGGAAAGGAAATTGTGCTTATGTTGAAATACAGCCTATATTTATAAACTTATAAATTGTATGTGGTATTTTATAAAATATAACTTCATTTTACTTCTGCACAGTTGATGAATATTTTGTACATTATAATTCAATGAGAAGTTTAATATAAAGGATAGATTATGGGAAATGAATGTTAATGGAATAATAAGATGAAAGACATTATGTTTATGGCACAATATGTATAATAGATCATACTGTATAATATTTCTGTTAGAGCTAATTCATTTCTTAGACACTGAACCATTGTATTTATTGTGGTTTTTGATACGATTACGTAATGTGAATGTAATACACTATGTAAACAAACATGAAAAACAGAATCAAGGTATTAGCATGTTTTCTTATCAATGTGAATAAATACGTAGTATTCTAAAAAAAAAATTGAGGCGAGACTCTAATTTACAGAAGAGCCAGTGAGAAGCACTCGAGAGATTTCAAAGTCACGGCGCCAACTTCAGTGCTTAATGCTAACGTAGGATCGGTTCACAGCGGATTTTATACAAAACGTGATAATTGAGCGGCTATAACTAATAAAACGGCGAGTCTACAATTTGTGGACGAATCAATCAGGTATAAGATAACGGATCTTGGATTTTGGCGTGAAAGCCTTTCATCCATTTGGCTAAATAGATTTTTGACATTATAGTTCATGATGAAAATCCTAACTAAAGCAAATCATGACAATTATTGCGAACTGGATAATAAAAGCACCAGTAACACTGGGTGCAGCCAGGTACAACAATATATACAGATGTTTGTAGAGCGTACAGACTCATACGTAGGCTTGGTTATGTGCATCGTGTCGTTATCCACAAGCGGCATTTTGTGTATTCAACAATCGGAGTACACACAAACAATATTGAAGCTATGTGGACGAGGTTGAAGTAGTTTTTGAGAACATATCATGACTTCAAAGGCCGACTATTATGTAGTCATATGGATGATTTCCTCTACTGCATGCATTACGATTTTAGAACCTCATTCTGACTGCGAAAAGTTTTTGAACCACGTATAGGAATTGTATCCACTCTATTTCTTTGGTTTTGTAAAATATATTTTCACTCTATATTAACTGTTTGTTAAATGGCTAATATTTATCAAGGTCACTTAACATTCGTTCAAAGGTCGTCCATAAATTATAGTCTCGCTTCTGAATTAAACTGTTGGTGGTATTGTAGATGACCAGTGCTAATAGATCATATAATAGGTTGAAATACTTGTCTAGTTCTTCTTGATTTTCAATGGTTGTTTAACTAAAATCAGTCAGCGATAGAAATAACAAACACGAACCAGTTTGTCAACATCACAGTTACCATTACATATCTACATATTCTTATCGTTTCTACCTGTTACTCATTAAGAGTTATTTAAATGTGTGTTTTGGTGCCCTGTTCAACCGGTCATTATACATACATTTCTCACTATTCACAAATTGAATGGATGATGAGATTATAATTTATGGACGACCTTTAATAGATGTTAAAATGACTTTGAAAATGTTCATCTACTGATTAGGGTTAAATAAGAATGTTATAACCCAGTGAAGATTAAATTACAGGTAACTTCCAAGGACCATTCATGGACTAATATTCTATAAATATTCTTATTGTATAACTATTCAACAATTACATTATGTATATTTATATTCCTTTTATGATAAGCTTTATTTTGATCTATAATTTATTATTGTACGATTTACGGTTCTTAAGTTATGTTCAGTTTATTAACTACTGCCTCCCTCATTCACAGCCACTTTTTGGGCTTATTTGTGTACACATGTTATTTCTATTTTATGGTGCGTTGCGGTGTGTTTCGTTGATATATAAACCGAGTATGTCTGAAATAAACGATTCGATTCATATTACAGAAGCTGGTATTATGTTCTGGATTCAAGTGGAACGGCCAGGAGGACATAAGACCAATAAGGACGCTAAACTGCTCATACCGGTTGAACGTCATTAGTTTGGCATAGTGCGAAGATTGTATAAGCCGTATTCTGATTGATCGATAAGTCGCGTGATAGAACAGCCAGACATCAAGGTCATAACATGAAAGATGTTGCAAACTTAGCAATTCTTATGCTAGTAGCTAGTGAACAATTGCTGTGAAGAAAAATTGAAACGGTTTAGTTTACCAAAGCGATGGTAGACATGTGTTAGTGAAGTTCATCAATAAGTCTCTTGTTCGAAACCCACTCCATTTTATACTATTCAGGCGACTAAATATTGTTACTAGCCATCTTACACAGATAACACATATATATATACTAAAGAGTAGTAACTGGTAAAACAACAGAAAACAAATACAAATTAATAATCACCTATGATTATAAAAGCTACAAAAATATACCAAATGTACATGTTTGTAACCGATTCAGTGAGACTACAATTTATGGACGACCTTTGAGCAACGCTGGAGTGACCTTGAGAGTGTTCACCTAATAAACGGTACCAAATAAGGGTTATAAATCAGTGTGAGGAATTGGAATTATGATTTATAGTTGATAGTTAGGGGTTAGGAATTTGATTTCGGGATTTTCATCACGAACTGACATCATCTATAATGTCAAAACTCTATTTATCTAAATGGATGAGTGAATTTCGCACCGAAATTCGAGACCTATTAACTTATACCTGATTGGTTTATCCATAAATTATAGTCTCACCGCTAATTCAATAAATTTTATACCTGATCATCGAAAAGATCCATCAGTTTTTGTTGTCCAATTATGATACCATCAGATTTAAGCATATTATGTACAACATCGAATTCTAATGGCTGAAAAGAAACATTATTATCAATATTATTTCAATTACCGTATAAGTTAAAATATTCATGTATAGATTGGGATTATTCTTTAAATAATGTAATACAATTTGATTTATATTACCCTATAATGAAAGGAAAGTAAACAGAACAAAATTGAATAGATTGAATATAGTAAGAAGAGAGAGAGAGAGCAACGCATAACAACTGATAGTTACGTATTGTTTGTTGGTATCTAACAAACACTAACAGACAACAGATAACTCAATAGTTTAGTGGATTATACAATAATATTTAAAAAGATCAATGTTAGATCTGACTTTTGATATAAAAATCAACACTGGGATGTCATTCAAATCGGATGTTGTGATGTTGTGGGATATTTCAATACTTGAGATCATGAATCAATTGAAGCTAGACTACAATGGAAAACCTGAAAGCACTGGACAGTTGTTTTACACTATTGTGGGACTCTTCAGTCGTGTGCATTCATGATCCCACACAGCGAGATTCGAACCAAAGACCTATCAGTCTCGCATGTGAACGCTTAACCTCTAGACTACTAAGCCGGCCGGCATCCAACGGTATGAACATCTAACCTCAATCAATTCATGAAATTGCGCGATCATCTTCCATTGTACTGAGGTAGATACCTGACTCTACCTGACACGGATTAGCGTTCGCACTTGAAACTGAAGGCTCCGGGTTCGAATCCCGCGAAACAGCCGTCCAGTGCTTCTAGGTTTTCAGTAATGATCTAACATCAATCAGTTCATGATCTCAATCAAAAACTTAATAATCTTCACAATCCTTATACTGATGATTATAATGTAATTTAACCCGTTTAAACATTGAATAATACAAAAGAAAATATTTATAATAATAACTATAAATACCTTGATTTTATTGACTTGTTTTCGACTTAGTTTTTTCAAATCTTGACTATTTGAATGAGAGAGTTCATCAGATGAAATCACTTCAGAATTCAATAAGTTTTGTAATTCATTTGAAAGAGTTGAAGTTGATAATAACAATTCTTGTTGAACAATACTATCACTATCACCATTATTATTATTATTATTATTACTATTATCAGTATCATTTTTACAACGTATGGGTAATAATGATACATTATTTACATTATTTGAAACATTTAATATCATCTTTTTAGATCTATCTAATCTATTATTACATTTCTTTTCTTTATCTATACAGTTTTCTTGTAATTGTCTATTATTATTGTACTTCACTGATCCAATTCGTTTGTTAGACATCAATTGATTCTGTTCATCTTCTTCATCTATATTAAAAAATTCGGGGGGGGGGGAGGGCGTGACAAAAAGCAATAAATAGAAACAGTGACTTAGTTTAAACATTAAATACAACTAGTAAATAATAATCACGAACTGATGTTGATGAAACCTTTATTGAAAACCTGGAAGCATTGAGATATCTGTTTTGTCCCAATGTGAGATTCTTCAATAGTGAGCAGTTTCTGTAGTTCTAGTAAGTATCCGTGACCAGTGGAGTTCAATTATGTCAGATGTGAGAATTATCGACACCAGACAATGGAACGGTGATTGCGAAATACCACGGATTGTTTGGATTTTAACATTAACACCGTTGAATGCTGATGCATTAGTTTGGGTTTAGATTTTAAGGTACAAGATCATGGATGAGCCCTAAACTAGAACGAAACGTCCATCGAGTGCTTTCAGGTTCTAATTGTGATCTAACCACGATCAGTTCGTGAGAATTTTGTAGTCTTCACCAAATCCCATACTGAGAAATAATTCTTTATCAAGAACAAATGAAACCAAGGAGTTGCTACACCATTCATTTATCCTAATATAAAACATTTATCCATAAATGGCACTGAACAACGGTTGTACTATACATTGTGGATTGATTAAAGCTGTGGACGTAAAACGTTGGATTTAAATTCAGTTTATCAAAAACTGATATACTTGATGTGAAAAATAGTGTTTTTATTGGGGTTTTAGTTACACACTGGTAACAAGTTTTGTGCTAGAGTGAAACAGTTGCACAAATATTTGAAATACACGATCTGAAACCTGAAAGCCTAAGGTTCGATCTCATGTGAGATTGTGAGCGAAGACAACTGTAAAGTTTACAGCACCCCTCCCACAATTAGTTTTATTTACAGTTAATTGGTCGAGCCCTTCAATTAACTTATTTAACAGACAGTGTTATTCGAACAGTAACAATTTGTCCATTTTTTGTATTATTATTATATCCTGTCCGTATGAACATGTATGCTTGATCACATGTGACAGCTTGATGAATCATTCGCTTCCCTATATATATATATGCTTTAAACCTAATAATTGCTTCACTTTGCTTTGATTCGTTTCGACTCTGAATCCGTCTAAATATTCGCTTGCTCGTGCATATTAACCTTTCCGCTCAAATCTGCTTGGTGTGTTTGTAATTTGTTACCTGCACCATCCAATAATAAATTATAGTCGGCGCTTCGTGTTGCCTTCTGAATTCATACCCTATTGGAATTTATTTAATAACAGTTATCAGGGTGATTGACAAGTTAAACCTAATGAATTATCTCGAAGCCAAACCGTTACAAGTTCTAGATCAAAATTGGACAAATATCTATTGCTCTCTAGTTTTCAATGACTCATCAGGTTTCTTCTTTGATCCATGCTGATAATTAACATCCTATTGGACAATTTCCACAAATGCCTCATAATAGTAATAGTAATAATATCCTTGCTAGTAACGTGCTTCATGAAACGGACATTGTGATAGATGGAGGTTAAACCATATGTGAAGTGAAATGTCATCATTTACTAAAAGGTATATTTTGTTGATGGATTTGTCTGTATCTCAATGCTGATTTATTAAACAGTTATTCGATATTGATTCATATACAAGAATTACATGAAGAATACAACCTTATCAGTAATCTTTGTTCATATATATGGTCTGGGATACTATCTGGACGACCGAAACGAAGCAAGTGGCTTCCTCAGTATACAACTTTTTGAATCTTCAACTTAGATTTCTAACCCACAAAGCACCAGAGAAACCTTGGCAGATGCGATCCGATGGTAGCCAGTGATCGAAATAGATCAGTATGCTAATTACTCTCTCAGGATCCTGGAGCCCATAAACCCCATTGACATTAAGTCATGGTTTTTCTATCTTTTTCGATGGACGCTTCATCTCCACTAACTCAGTTTAGGCGTTGGATATCCTCTTTTCATTCTCCCCGTTTCATATAAATCACCGCCACATGAAGGTGATGAGAAGGAACTTCCCGATGGAAGCTAGAAAGACATATGGGTGAATTCGTCTTTTGAGAAAGAAAGAAAGAACAAACTTTCACAACCTTTAACGATACCAAATCATTTGGGAGCATCAATACAAATGAAAAAATGCGAATAGACTTACATTGATGAAGTTGATTATAGATTTCTTTTAAGAGTAGTATAGCACGTTTACGTGGAAGAGGTTTCACACCATATTTAGATAAAGCACGCTAAAACAATAAAAATGAAACAGGAGAATACTGAAAAGTTTGAAATGTTTCGAAGAAATAACCGCTCCAACTTCAAACTTGAAATGATAAAATTTAAGTTGAATGAAAATAGGTGTTGACTATAAACAACTAATCTACCACGGAATATAGAAAGTGAACAGCTTACGTGTTTAGTGATCCAAGTGTTGGACAGTACATTCATAACCTCATAATTCATTAGTATGAATATACTTATTTACTTCTTAGGCCTGTTACCTCTCATATAGGAACATAGGCCGCTCACCAGCATTTTCCATCCAACTCTGTCCCAGTCAGCCCTTTTCAGTTTTTTCCATCATTTTCGTATTTGCTTCCAATTCCTAACGAAGTGTGTTCTCTGGTCTTTCTTTTTTTTTCATTTCCCTTCAGGATTCCAAGCTGGCACTTGCCACGTGATGCAGTTTAATGATTTCCTCAATATGTGTCCTATCCACTTCTAACATCTTTTCCTAATATCCTCCTCAACTGGAAGCCGGTTTGTTCTCTCCTACAGAAGGCTGTTGCTGATGATATCCGGTCGACGGATATTGAGTATCTTGCGTAGACAATTGTTTAGAAATACTTATACTTTCTTGATGATAGTTGTAGTAGTTCGACACGTTTCAGCTCCGTACAGTAGAACTGTCTTGACGTTCGTATTGAAGATGGTGACTTGGATATTGGTTGACAGTTTTGTTTTGAGTTCCATAGGTTCTTCAACTGTATGAAGGCGGCTATTGCTTTCCCAATACTCGCCTTCACGTCTGCATCAGATCCTCTTTAGTCGTCGATGATACTGCGTAGGTACGTGAAGGATTCCACATCTTCCAGAGCTTTTCCATCAGGCGTGATTGGGTTGATGTTCTCCGTGTTGCATTTGAAGATCTTGCTTTTTTTCGTTGAGTATGTTGAGACCTTCCGGTACAGAGGCCGCTGCTAAACTAGTTGTCTTTATCTGTATTTGTTCATGCGTGTGAGATAGAACGGTCAGGTCATCAAAGAATTCCAATTTTTTTAATTGATTCCGAGCTGTCCATTGTATTCCGCGCTTCCCGTTAGTTGTGATCTTCATAATCCAGTCAACCACCAGAAGAAAGAGAAAGAGTAAGTAGCACTTCTTGACTAAGGTCCTCCTTTAGACTTCATTCGTCAGCTTTCCTCTATGCACTGCAGTCCATCGCATCTATTCCGTATGATGCTGACGATTTTTTCAGGTACACCATAGTGTCGAAGAAGTTTCCATGATGTTCTCCTATTCACACTGTCAAATGCTTTCTCACAATCAAGGGAGCTGGTGTATAGTGACGAATTCCATTCGATTGATTGTTAAAAAATGATCCGTAGTGTCGCGATTCGGTCTGTGCACAACCGATCCTTAAGGGATCCAGCCTGTTGATCTGGAAGTTGGGTGTCTACTGAGTCTCTCATCCGGTTCAGTAACACTCTGTTGAAAACCTTTCCTGGTACTGACAGTAGTGTGCTGCCTCTGTAGTTCTCACATTTGCTCAGATTTCCTTTCTTTGGAATCTTGATAGAGTTCTTCTTTCCAGTCCATTAGCACTTGTTCCTCTTCCCAAATCTTTTTGAAAAGAACGCGGAGTGTGTTCGCAGTTACTTCTATGTCTGATTTCAGAGCTTCAGCTGGTATATTGTCAGGTTGTGCTGCTTCCCCGATCTTGACTTTTCTGATGGCCTTCCTGATTTCTTCAATCGTTGGTGGAGTGACATCTATAGGAAGGTCTGTGGGTGCTGCTTCGATGTCTGGTGGATTCAATGGAGTTGATTAATACAAGTGTCTCACCCATCTGTTCGTCTGTCCATGAATTTCAGTGATTGGTTTGGCTTCCTTGTCCTTGACCGGTGTCTCTGGTTTACTATAATTTTTTGTCAGTTACTTCGTTGTCATATTTCCATCTCTTGCAGCTTTTTCCGTTGTCGTTGCTAGCTCTTCAACGTATTTCTGTTTGTCGGCTTTAATGCCCTTCTTCACTTGCTTGCTTGCTTCTGTGGACTCAGTTTGTGGCTTAACTTTCTTTACTCTTGTTCGACTGCTGTTAATTGCTGTCTTCTTGTTCTTCCTTTCTTGAATCTTGCCCAGGATTTCCATAGAGATTCATTCTTTATGATGATGCTTCTTTAGGCCCAGAACCTCTTGACACGTTGAAGTTAATGCTTCTTTGATACCTTTCCAGTTGTCCTCCATAGTAGTTTCTTCTTCCTTCAGTAGATCCTGTAAGGCTTGGAACCTGTTGTTGAGAGTTATCTTGAATTCGTTGAGTTTGCTAATATCTCGAAGGAAGGCTGTATTGAACCTTTGTAGTGCTGTTTGTCTA